ATATATATATAATTTAATAAAATTATAATTATTAAACTGGATTATAGTGATCTATGCTATATCTCGCTTTAAAGTTTAAACCTTAATTAGAAAATTACAATTTTAAATAACAAAATCACTTTAGCCTCATATTTATCATTTATCAACAATTATCTAATGCGGTAATATTATCCTTCAGATTATGAACAAATTTAATATTTTTAAAGATTAGTATTAAGGTATAAAAGTGTTCGCATTTGTTACGTGATATTAGCAGTTTGTTAATAACTGTCATTAGTTTGTCATCTATTTCACATTCAAAATGAATTCCTTATTTAGATTAGGCTTTATTTTTGCCATTCTTTATACATCTTATGCTTTTTCTATAGAGGAATTTGAGAATGATTTGAGTGAATGGGGTGTAAATGATATAGACATTGGAAAGGTTTGTCATATTATATCACAAAACATTTAAAACGATACTGATACAAATATTTTTGTTATAGATGTTCACACAATTGTTTCACGACATCGAAGTCAATAATCACAATTCTAAGTCCTGTATTGACTGCAATACTACTATCACTTTTGGACGAGCGGTTATAAAGGACCCTGATACCATTAGATGGGTTATACCTGCCGCATGCAAAAATGCAGGTTATTCCCAAAGGGTATGTGAGGGCACATTGGACCGAATGGCTGATCCTCTCGCATACCTCTTTCAACACTCGAAGATAACAACACCTGAAATGTGTTCCACTCTTCTATCGCCAGACTGTATGACATATTTGGGACTACCGTTCAGTCATGCCGTAAATATTAATAAATTTTTCAATAGAAAATACAATATAAATATTGTGATTTTTACCAAAATAAATATATATTTAACTTAAACGATAAATCTTGTAATTTAATGTTCAGGTTAATTGGGAGCTAACTTTGCCAAAACCCAAACCATTTGTACCAAAGTCTGGAAATGACAAACAACTAAAAATGTTACATTTAACTGATATTCATTTGGATCTTTACTATACTCCTGGCTCTAACTCTGTATGCGATGAACCCATATGTTGTCGGTCCACATCCTATGGACACAACCATTCAGCCGGTTATTGGTCTGAAACGACACTGAACTGCGATTCTCCGCTCATATTCACTGAAGACGCCATCGGAGATGTGGCACAAACTCACAAAGACTTGGATTTCGTCATATGGACGGGAGATAACATCCCTCACGACGTCTGGAATACAACAAAAATAGTTAATTTAAAACATGTTGAAGCCGTCACTGATATGTTTAAGAAATCATTTCCAGACAAACCGGTATTTCCCTGTTTAGGCAATCATGAGACACATCCTATTAATTTGTAGGTTTACTAATATTTTCATAATTAATTCAATATTAATTATTATTTCATTCAATGGTTAGATATTCTCTCGAAAAAGCGTCAATTGAATCAAAGGGTAATTTCTCGATGAGTTGGCTCTACAATGCATTGGCCGACGATTTGTGGAAACAATGGATAGACACGGAGTCGGCGAAGAAGACAT